GCAGAAGCTCCGCACTTAAATAACAACGAGCTGGTTGGTTGATCCCTTTTGCCTCAAACAAAGTAAAATAAAAATAAGGAACTGCGTCTTTTCTATTCTATTCTGAGCAACAATGTTGGGAGTTAAGATTCGCCCTCTTTGTTCCATTATTGGCTCAAAACGAAATGCGACACATTTGATTCAGAACTGGCTCCATTCTTACTCTTTTCAAGGTTTCCTTTTAGTTCTTCTCTACACCATCATATTTGCCTTCATTTGCATTTTTTTTTCTTTTGCATTCAAACTTTGAGTGGGAGCTTGGCTTTGTACAGAAAAAAAATTCTTTTCGTGCCAGACTTTTTGATCCTAAGTTTCAGAATCATGTATATTAAAATTTAATATTCAAAATGATCGATAATATTTACAATTTTGTATGCAGCAAAGCAAGCAATTAAATTTCTCCCGATAACTGTTAGAAACTATTATCATAAGGTCATGGGTCAACACAGTCAGCGGTGGAAAAACGAAATAAAATAATCCACCAAATTGCAGTCCTGTCCCAGGTAATAAAGATACCAGAAACCAATAACTTCATCTTGCTGTTTAATATCCATTCAATTCTACTAACTCATATCTTTAAGATTCTTTCTACGAGAGTCTGTGAATATTGGTTTTAATTGAATAGATAATGTATATGGAGCAGTGTCTGCATTCAGATTTCCTTTATAGGCTATGTCTTTAAAGAAAGTGATATTTTACAAGTGAATTAAATTTTTAAAAAGTGGTTTACTGCAGGAAGCCAATCAACCGTGACAAGTACACAATCATCATTATAAAATAAATAAAATTGCATGACTGCACATTATCTAAAACTCTATACACTGTATGAAGTACATATGCATAATTAGATATTTAGAACTGCATTATTCAGGTATGGTCTTTTTTACGTTCTTTGAAGTATGAAATGAAATTTTAAAAAAGCCGTGTAATTTTAAACTGTATGATCCGCGAAAAGATCAATACTTAGGTTTGCATAGCGTTTGGTCGGTTCATAATTTAGTGCATGTAAAAATAAACTGGTGAGTCCTTATAATTAAATTTGTAAATCTTATAAAGATAAAGTCAAGAAAACTCTCATTTAAAACAAAATGAGTTAAAATAGACCAGTCTAACCTAGTCTAACTACGCACGGATACATGTCAAAGAGCCGTTATATTCAATCATTTACATATGGGCAGATATATTTAATAAATTGAAAAAGAAAAAGTTTTAAAAAGTGACATCGCCAGTGTGGCTCTATCATTTATTAATATCCCGGTCACTCAATTTCCCCTTTTCGTGGGGATTCTTGTTCCGACCCTCGCCCGCCCCAATTTTCCCAGGGGTGGAGGACTTTTGTCGCGACGACATCCCCTCCGATTGTCCCTGGTGATGGGGAACTCTTGTCCGAGCAAAAGCCCCTACTCCCTCAGGAAATCGGGGCTATGTAAAGTCGTTCTCTCATTCCAGATATAATTAAAATCTCTTACTTTCTTTTCAATTGTGTAAGGACCATAATACTTGGCTTGAAGAGGATTTTGTGGTACGGGGAAGAAAGCCAGAATTATATCACCAGGCTAAAAACTCCTTTTCCTTTGTATTTTTATCCTGCCTTAATTTCATTTTTGACTGAGAAGAGTGCAGATTAGTTCTTCCAGTCTCATACACCGTTTACAACTAATACTTCAAATTGGAAATATGATCGAGAATATTAATTTCGGTATCTTCAATTAGAAAGACGTTTCTCTTTTAACAACTTCAATGTACCACGCACAATATGACCCAAAACTAGTTCAAGGGACTGAATCTATAAAATATTTTGAACTAATTTCCTAACAGCCAGCGATAGTAAATGAACACCTCCATCCCAATCTTTGCCCCTATCGAAACAATACGACTGAATCATATTTTTGAAAGTTTCATGAAATCTTTTCAAAGCCTCTTGGCTTTCAGGTTTATAGGTAGATATTTGAATTGTTGAATTCGTGCATAATTTGCAGGAATATTCCAGACATAAACTTTTACCATTGATCAGATTGGGTAGATTTGGGAAGGCCAAATTTAGTATAATAAAATACGTTATCAAAGCTTTAACTTTTGTTTTAGTTTTAATTATTCCTCAAAAGAATTGCCTCTAGGAATCTTGTGGATGCACACATTATTGACAAGAATTAATTGTTACCCGACTTGGTCTTAGGTAAGGGACCGACACAATCTACCATTATTTTGTTCAATAGTTCGTCAAATGCAATAATAGGTTGCAGATGAGCCTGAGGTATCTTCTGATTGGGGTTTCCTGCCATTTGGCAAGTATGACAAGATATGAAGTATTTACAAACATCATTTCTAATTTTAGGCCAGTAAAAGTGATTCGAGATCTTGTGATAAGTCTTATAAATCTCTGAATGACCAGCCAAAACATTCCTGTCTTTATAATTTTGGAAATACATTTTAATAGTTCCTTGATCACTCGTCACCAGCAGGTACATCAGGTGGTCTCCATTTTCTCAAAATAATCCCATTTTTAATGAAATGACAAATAGGTACTTCTGTGGCTTCAGTTTTACTAATGGCCCTTTGAAACAAACAGAAGATCTCATGATCTCTTTTCAGATCGATGATAGGTGACTGTCGTTTGTCACCCTGATGAGAAAAAAAAGAATGAGTAGTTAAAAGAGGATCACAGTGATCAATACCGTCTGATCTGAATGATCCAAACAAGGGGTAAAGTGACAAATACATGTGTCATCTAAAAAAAACTAATTTCTAAAAGTTTTGCTAGACAGATTTGTTAGTAATCGTATTAGGCTTGAAATACTATTTAAGAGTAGACAACTGATTGGAAGACTTGCTAACAAAATAAACTTTATGAGCTCATGAATACTCGTCAGCAGTACGAGCAGCGTTTTGTAAAGGTTGACTCATCAAGATAAGTCGCAGTTCTTGAACTTATTAAGTAATATGAGTTATCTGAGATTTTCGTAATCTTGATCAACTTTCTTGGCTAAGCACCAACTATATAATAACTGATTTTTGCCTCATGCAAATTCGACACGAATCCGTCCAATTTCTTTCTTTATAGTTCCTGAACCTTTGTCAATAAGCTTCAGAAACTAACTCGTTGCCTTTTAAGATGCATTCCTTAACCAGATCATAGTCAGCATCTTGCAATATTGACAGGGAAGCATAGATTTCTCGGGCTTTGCAAAAAGTGCACTTTGTAATAACAATCCAATGCTCTCAAGGCCATTTCGAATTTTCAGCGATTTGTTCAACATTTGGAATATATTCATCTACTTCTTTCTCTCTAAAAAGGGGTACGTAACTTAATATTATTAATAACATCTAAACTTGAATTTGTGTGTAAATTGGGGGTGGGGTGCTTTTCACATGTCAGATCCTTTTTTAAAATCTAACTTTAAATTCTCTTTCTTCCTTCTTTTGCAATTGCATTTGATTTTTTTTCTTGTTTTGTTAAAGAATATTTTGCCTCAGAAAAATCAAATTTTATGGCAAGCTTAAACAATTCACCTTTTTTTCAAGGAGACTAACTGTTCCTGGGTAGGATTTGAAAAAAAAAACTCCACTTTAGATGACATTGTAAAAAGCTCGTTCGTTTAACTCAGGAAATCTAAATAATCCATGGGATTCAACTAATTCATAAACAAGGTGGCTCAAAGTTTTAAAATTAAGTTTTCTGAAATGATTTAGGGAAATTCGTATCCCGGACGAGCCCCCACCCCCAAGTTTCTGGTACGAGCCTGTGCTCTTAAATTAAGTACCAGAAAAAGGATGAAAAGCAACAAGCTTTTTAAAAATCAACAACCAATTTATTTTTCCAGAATACAAAATGAAAAATTAGGGAAAAAAAAGAATTACGGTTTTGGGAATTAAATCCCAAAATAATCCAAGAATTACAGACAAAAGTCCTAATAATTTAAAGCCCCGTACAAGTGCAGAATAAATCAAAAAATTAATGGCGATGATGTATCTGTGGTAGTTTGTAGAGTGTTGAAGTGCAGACAGTCTTTTGATGAATCACAGTAATATTATTATTATTTCAGGTTTGAATTAGTTATAAATTCCAGTTAAAATCTTGATCCAAGAATTTTTATCAGAGCACTTTTCTATTTCAAGAGAAAACAATCACTCGAATTCAATAATTTGAAGAAATTAATTTTCCAGTTTAAAAATGAAATACTGGACACAAAATATAATACAATTTGAAAAGGACAGATTTTAAAGTTCAGATGAAAAAAAAAGTCCTCTCAGTTCCAAGATTATATAGTTCTCTTGACCTCAGGTTACAATTATCATTTTTAAGGGCCCCTAGTGGCCGAGTGGTCTAAAGCGCTCTCCGTTACGGATAATTGTCATCTCACCTCTGTCTGCGTGGGTTCGAGTCTAAGATTCGGCGAATGTGGATATGGGAGAAAGCTTGCCGTAGCTTTTCGTGGGTCGGTGGTTCTTTCCGCGGATTTTTCGGTTTCTTCCTCCACCATTAATACTGGCCGCCATGTATAGCCTATCATGTGCTGAAAAATGCATTAAGCCCCATAACAACAACAACAACAAAAACAATTAGCATTTTCTGATGAAAAAAAATACCTATGAAATATAACCTTCTAGAATGATGCTCATCTTTACTAAATACAAACCATAACCTAGATTATGTAACATTGACTATGGAAATTCCAAAACCTTGACCTCGACCCAAATAAACGTTTTTACTTCTATTAATAATACTGAATTAATAATAATAATGATTTTAATGCCATACACGTAGATAATAATTTTACACTAAATAAAATTTTTTAAAAATTTAATTGGGTCAAACAGAATGAGCTCAGTTTTGGACAAGGTCACGTCCATCCTACAATGTTACATTACAATAGCAGGAAAAGAATTTTTTTCAAATTTAAAAAAAATGCTAAATAACAAACAATTAAATTAAATACACATAACAATACATGCATACATACTCTCTGATAGTCTAAGTGGTTAGAGCGTCCGCCTCGGACGCGGGAAGTCGCGGGTTCGAACCCCGGCCGAGTCATACCGAAGTCTTATAAAATTGGTATTAACAGCTCTCTCGCTTAGTGCTAACATTAAGAGGTTAGTGTTAGGTCTGGTCGGATAATGGGACTGGGTGGGGCATGATTCACAAGTACTATATACTATACAATACAATTCACAAGTACTATATACTATACAATACAATTCACAAGTACTATATACTATACAATACAATTCACAAGTACTATATACTATACAATACAATTCACAAGTACTATACAACTGCCACATTGAATAAATCGTAGCGATATAACTGAACAATCGTTAAAGCTACACTATAAATCCAAATCTCTCTCTCTCTCACACACACACACACACACACACACACACACACACACATACACACAGAGTCTACCTTACTGTACATGCAAGTAGTGTTCCATTACTTACAAAGAGAATGAGCTCAGTTTTGGACAAACAGAATGAACTCAGTTTTGGACAAGGTCACGTCCATCCTACAATGTTATATTACAATAGTAGGAAAATAATTGAAAATAATTTTTTTTTATTTTTTTTATAAAAAGAAATAAATAACAAACAATTAAATTAAATACAAATAACATAGTATGAATTCAGTTTGATCCATTTAAATCCAAATCTCTCTCTCTCTCTCTCTCTCTCTCTCTCTCTCTCTCTCTCTCTCTCTCTCTCTCTCTCTCTCTCTCTCTCTCTCTCTCTCTCTCTCTCTCTCTCTCTCTCTCTCTCTCTCTCTCTCTCTCTCTCTCACACACACACACAGAGTCTACCTTACTGTATATGCAAGTAGTGTTGCATTATTTACCCCAACAGCAAACTGTACAAAAAAATTTAATGTTTATATTATTCAACAAAATCCTCTATATGAAAAATGCTTTAATTTCTGATAGCAGTACTTAAATTTCTTTAACATTTCTGCATTTCTTCTCAATTACTGCACATTACCAGCTTTAGACAGATTATATATTCGACAGACGAAAACAAGAACATGTCACGAGCTAATTATTTTCATTTTGGGAAATAAGCAATCGTTTGAAATATAAATGTGTTTTTAACATTTCCATCTGAACAATTCATTAATCTTAACTACACGTTTGAGTTTTGCGCATGTAAACCAGATTTTTGACAGAAGAAAACAATGTCTAATCCCGAGTTCGCCGTCTCGTGCGATCTTAAACCTAACTTTAAAAATAGAACATACTAAATCACATGACTATAATCTACCTCAAGCCAGCTCTTAGCTGAACACCGAAACATGAACGTTATCGTTTCAAATTTAGTTTTGGAAAACGAGACAATAGGTTAAATTGAGAAAGTATTTAAGAGTTCCACCAGAACATTTCAGTAGTTTTAACGTCACATGCGACTGCTCCGCAAATTTAAAGCAAAAAGACCTCATCAGAAAACTTTAACACCCGTGATACAATCACGTGATGTGATCACGGGGTGAAAGTACTATCTTTTCTATTGTTTATTTTTATTTTGATAAGTATATGCATGCAACTAATGAATATATAAGTATAGTAATAATCACTGGATAAACATTCCTTGTCGTTTGTGTTGAACATTGAAAGTTAATGGAATCTGGCGTCTGAGGCAGTTACCCTAGGTCTGAAAATTTGGTAATTTCATTAATAACCAGATATTAGTCTAAGTACATGTACAAACGGAACCGAAATTTGGAAGTATATATTACATTCTACTTAATTTATTTATGTTACTTATTTTGTGAAATAGAAATAACATTGGTGTCGCTATTTCGAATAGACTGAAATGAAAGAAGACATATCGATAATGGATATCTCTGTACCAGACCATGCCATTATTTAAACCAGGTAATCGGACAACTCTAAGTTAAGTCTTTATTTTATGTCATCTCTGTGTTCCTTGATAAATGACAAGTCATGCCAGTTGTTAAAGACAAGTCAAAAATTTATTTTTAGACAAATTGGGCCAGAAAATTAAGAGACCAATTTCCAATAATAACATTGTATAGGTTCTGTTAATATGCATTCCATAACATTGTTGAATACAACTTAGAAAATACTGTAGCAAAGCCAACCCAAGGTGACTTTCAGTCAAGCTGAAGACATCAGTATGTTGCCTTTAGAGGATGTTTAATAAGATTTAAAACCCTACATTTAATCATATAAAAAATTTTTAAGACTCAGTTTTAATGATTGATCCAAATTACCCTTTATTAAATACATGGAATTTAGTTAAATTTTGGCTGGGTCCAAGTTGACCCAGCCTTAGGCTGGCTTGTCTTAGGCTGAGGTAATGACTTTGGTCAGAGTTTTCTTTAATTCTATAGACTGTTTTGAATCATACTCATATAGTCTGACCAAATGAATATGAAGCAATGTTAGATTATATGGTTTGATATGAATGAGTGAAGTATAATAATGGTCATACTATTTATTTTATGCAATCCATCATTCAGTATGTTTGATACATTATTTACTTGGTTACAGTTATAAAATTTTCAGCTGGTCGTGTGTATGTGTGTGTGTGTGTGTGTGTGTGTGTGTGTGTGTGTGTGTGTGATTTGGATTTAAATAGCTTTAACAAATTTTCAGTCATTTCACTACAATGTCTGCATTGTGGCAGTTTATAGTGATGTCTGGCACTGGGATATCAAACAGACATCTAGCATGATGTCCCACCCAGTCACATTATCCTGACACCAGGCTGACCAGTCCTAACAGTGACCTCTTATTGCCGACCACCTAGCAATGTAGCTGTTAGTACTATTTTTTATAAGTTGCTGGTATGACTTGGCTGGGGTTTCAACCCACTACCCACAATTATGTTGACTGCATTTTTATAAGGGAAATTATATATACATTTACTCTCACTTTACTCCTATAGGGGAGGGGTTGGACTAAGGATGTGAAAAGTTGCAAGCTCATAGACAGCGAAAAGTCTGGATGTTTGTGATTGCTTTTAAATCAAGTTTTGTAGAGACTATATTAGTACAAATTTGCAATAAATGTGGATCATTTGTTTTTAATGCTTTACATTATCTCATATGTATATATGTATGTATGTCTGTATGTATGTATGTTTGTATGTATATATGTATGTATGGTGTGGGCTGGTTGGGATGGAATAAACAATGTATCAGTCAGACACACAGTAATAATTTCTCTTGAAATTATACTCACATAGTTACCATCATGATGTTTGTGCATTTAAATTTTGCAGAACAGTAATGTTTTAAAAAGAAAAAAAATATAAATACAAAACTTCCTGTTTTCTTCAATTTATGTTGTTATTCAGTACAATGTTTTAATTTTCATTATGGAGTCCATAGCAGTACCGTGTTATCTCCTTAATCATGTTATAATGAAGGCCATAATGAAGGCCTTTTATCGAGGTCAAATTTATATCATGTTATAATAAAGGCCTTATAATGAGTAGATCTGAGAGCATATTATAATGAAGGTTTTATAATACATTAGAGCTGAGTTCATGTAATAATGAAGGTCTAATCATTAGGTAGAACTGAGGATAAGTTTTATTGAAGGCCTTTTATTGAACTAGAGCTGAGGTCATATTATAATGAAGGCCTTTTAATGAACTAGAGCTGAGGTCAAACTATAATGAAGGCCTTTTAAGGAACTAGAGCTGAGGTCAAATTATAATGAAGGCCTTTTAATGAACTAGAGCTGAGGTCAAATTATAATGAAGGCATTTTAATGAACTAGAGCTGAGGTCAAATTATAATGAAGGCCTTTTAATGAACTAGAGCTGAGGTCATATTATAATGAAGGTCTTTTAATGAACTAGAGCTGAGGTCAAATTATAATGAAGGCCTTTTAATGAACTAGAGCTGAGGTCATATTATAATGAAGGCCTTTTAATGAACTAGAGCTGAGGTCAAATTATAATGAAGGCATTTTAATGAACTAGAGTTGAGGTCAAATTATAATGAAAGCCTTTTAATGAACTAGAGCTGAGGTCAAATTATAATGAAGGCATTTTAATGAACTAGAGTTGAGGTCAAATTATAATGAAGGCCTTTTAAAAAACTAGAGCTGAGGTCATATTATAATGAAGGCCTTTTAATGAACTAGAGCTGAGGTCATATTATAATGAAGGCCTTTTAATGAACTAGAGCTGAGGTCAAATTATAATGAAGGCTTTTTAAGGAACTAGAGCTGAGGTCAAATTATAATGAAGGCCTTTTAAGGAACTAGAGCTGAGGTCAAATTATAATGAAGGCCTTTTAATGAACTAGAGCTGAGGTCATGTAATGAAAGCCATATAATGAGGTAGGGCTGTGGTTATTTTATAATTAAAGCTTTATAATGAAGTAGACCTGAGATTGTGTTATAATGAAGGTCTTGTAATGAACTAGAGCTTAGGTCATGTTATAATGAAGGCCTTATGATGAGGTAGAGCTGAGGTCATGTAATAATGAAGGTCTTATAATGAGGTACAGCTCAGGTTATGTTATAATGAAATCCTTATAAAATGGTATAACTGAGGTTATGCTTAATCATGACAATCATAGTTCATTGTGTTTACTTCCTTATGGAAATCAAAGTGAAATCTTTCATTTAATGATCAATCTTGTTTCAGTATAGTGATTGTTTTATGGTGATTTTTTCCTTTTCAGGTTAATGTGAGGCATCAGTCGGCATAACCCTTTTCTAAATTGCATGGTGATAGACTATAAAGAGGTTCATAAATCTTTATTATAGTAGATACGAGTTATCCTGCTTTAACTAGGACTTCAATATAAAATGAGTGAAGTGCTGTTCAAGGTTCTAATTATTGGAGATCCCACAGTGGGAAAGACATCTTTCGTTCAAAGATATGTGAACAATTCCTATCGAAGGGACTACAAAATGACAATTGGAGGTATGTTTCATATATTGAGGTGCTAGGTTAGCATAGTGTTCATTCATTGGTTTTGACCATTTATAGTACATGTATAGTCAAATTGTACCAATGACCACATTGTTAATTATGAGGCCACCTGACTGAAGAGCAGTTTTCAGTA